CCCCAAAACCCCAAAACCCCAAAACCCCACATTAGGTCGCAATATTTGAAGATTGGCAAAGATATAAGTGGTTTACCATTTGAGATCGAAGAATTTATTTCATTCGATGTTAAGGTCGCCCTAAGGCAAAGTTTCTCTTCTGCATTTTGTTATTGACTTTGCCTTCTTCATTCATCTGGGCTTTTGAGTCCTGAGATATTTGACTTTCCTATACATTTTACAGGGTATTGTAAACTGGCATCCCTTTGGCTGAATTGTAGTGGGTTTTCTGAGATTCTTGATCCTTCCCTTTGACTTTGAGGCTTTACTCGCTCACTTCTTCAGCAAAGCAGTCACCAAGGAAAACACATTGACCATTACTCCTGCGGTTGGCCCGAGCAGCAACAAATAAATGTACAAGTTGGCTTCTGAATCCAACCAGTCTGACTGAAAGTGCAGAAACAACAAAGGAACTAGCGCTCACATGTAGTTCAGTTGGTGGATCGATTCGACGATGTTGTTAGCAGTGGAGTCGTAAGGCCTTCAGACAAACACAAACACCGACAACATTACATGGACAACAAGCATCAGTGCCAGTTTAATGTAATAGAGTGATGTCACATTCTGAGTTTGACCTTCTGCATCAGTTTCAGCTGATGTTTGCATTAATACGATAACCAATATCGAAGCCAATCTCACAGCCAGAAAGCACAAAGAGTTGGCTTTGCAAAGTGTGTGATGTTTGATTCCTGAATACAACTCTGAGGTTGTCAAATGTGTGTGAAACTCAGAGCCAGGGTTCTTTCTATACATTGGAATAACAACTTACCACCCAGCAATATAAGACCAAACCACCAGTGAAATGAAGACGAACATGCAGACGCCAAAGAGCAAACACAGAACCAGAGACACCGTGGCAACTGTGGGGTCGTGCTTGAAAGCTTTGAGTTCGCACACAATGGACAGCATCTGAAACATAAAGTACTCCATGACCAGTCTGATGTAGAACCCGAAGGTCATCGCCTCGAACAGCTTCGCAGCCAATGCTTTGCACCGCTTGTGTTTGGATTGGTAGGCACACGAGAGATGGACGAGAAGCACTCCGAGGTGCAACAGCGACACCAACACAATGACCATCATCATGGGTAGATAGTCCGCCAGCGAACTGTTCGAAGTCAGGCCTACTTCGTCGAGGTAGGCGTCTCCCTGCGGGTAGTCGACGGCTTCTTTGACTTGTTCGACAAGTGGGATGTCTCCGACTGGAATGAAGTCGAAAGACACAAATGAGAAGTCAGTGCCAAGGATGAACTGAGCAACTTTGGATGGAAACGATATAGGAAGCATTGGCAACAAAATGTAGAGTTGGAATTGGTTGACGAGACTGAACATTCCAGCTGGCTAATTCATTGAAACAACTGAAGATATAATTGATACTATAATTCCAATTCCGATAATATATTGGCCTAAAATTGCTTCAGCCTGAGCCTCTCCTTTGATTCATTCATCTTTTGTGTCACTGAGATTGTATCCTACTTCTCATTGAGCTCACTTTTCTGGGTTGTCAGATTTACAATTCTTACAATTTCCACTGATCACTGTTTGATTGTGAGAAAGAATTTCTTCTAAGTAGAAATGATTCCATCATCAATTGAGATAGCAAACTTGTAAAGAGTGTCTTGAGCTACACTTGGTGTTTTATTCAGAGTGAGGAGTTGATTCTCAGCATCAAGAAATGCCCAGTCAGGGACGCTCTCTCCATCAAGAGACTGTAAACCAAACACAATTGTCACCGGATTGGAAGAATGATATCAAGCCCAAACAAATGTCACATTAGTATGAAAGTTGGGCAAATAAGATTTTGAAAAGTCGTCATTTCACAAGGCTGTTAAGTAAGTTGTTCCTGTAGGAGTCACAGTCACATTGTTGATAGCGACTGCTCCAACATTATTGATGGATAATGATCCCTGGCTTACTGAAGGAGTTGATACCGGATCTGTAATTGTAAAACTTGTCGAAATAGTGGTGAAAGTGGTTGTCTGCTTGCTCAGAATACTAAATCTATCCAAATCACTTATTCTGCTCCTAATAATCTTATATTGTGTTGAAAAATCTGCATTGAAGATCACATACTCAAGACCCTGAACAAGGATAGATGTAGAAGAATAAAACTTTGTAGTTCCGTTTATGTACTCTTTGTAAACTGATCATCTCATAGGGTGAACGATAGTAGAAGTCCAAGTGTCTGATCCTGAAATATGATAGAAAAAGATAACATAGTTTCCAACCTCGCCGATATCTTTTATGCAAGTTGGATTACAAGAAGAGACCAGACAGGATTAAATCGGATTTCCTGTATTTACATCAAGAGTGTGGTATATTAATTTGGTGGATATTACATTTATTGTGTAGAGAAAATTACCATTCTTGCTTAAAAGAGACTGCCCGCCACCTATAGAGCAAGAGCCTGTTCAAGCTACATATTTGGCTAAATTAATAGGAGGAGGGTTATTAAGGTCTATAGACATAAAGTATAAATCAAAATATCCCGATATCTTGGCTGTAATAAAGATCCTATTATTAAGAATCGGTATAAAATTTATTTTATTTGAAGTCCCAAAATGAAGTCAATCTGAACTGGACTCAAGTCTTTCGAATCTTCGAATATAGCGATTTGTGCTCAGAGAATGGGTTCCAGTCACAAGTAAGCTATTTTGCTCAAAACAGTGGATTCCAGATAAGGTCTCAAAATTTAACAAAGAAACAGTTTTCACATTCAAAATAAACAGATAATCTGAATCAATTCCAATAATTTTGTTCGAGTTTTCTTCACTCAGATCTAAATAATCACTATCTCCAGATACTCAAAAATTGTTATCAGTGGGATTAATGTCGTACGATTTCACACGTTTCACTCTCAGCTCATAATCAATCATCATAATGCCTCCTCGATGCACTGCAACAGGCTCTACAAATTGAATTTGGAAGTACAGGCTCTCCTTTATAGAACTTGTTAGTACCTAAATTTCCCAATCAGCCTATCCAAAACTCCAAATTACTTACCTCAAAAAGGGAGTTATAACTGCTAGATCCAGAACTAAGCGACTTTAAATACCGAAGTCCACTCCTCTCTTCCTGTGTCTTACAAACCTTTGAGGTTGTAAGACAAGTCAGAAAGCCAAGACACAGAACAAGGACCATCATTCTGGCTTTTGCTGTATATTTTTACTAAAATCAAAATTTTCAGAAATTGAAGGCAACTATAAATTTTTTAATTTTTAAAGAAGCCATTTTGACCGGGAAAATTATTTTTTGAGGATTTTGAGTGGGCGAGTTAAGAGATTTAGAGGTTCTTGGAAGGCAGTAGAAGTGTTTTGGGAGGAGAAACCAGCAGAGAGGGTTTAGGGAGGTTTTCAGTAGGAATTTTGGGGTTGAGGGAGTTTAAGTGAGTGATAATAGAGGGGTGATTGAGTTAATTAAGTCTTTTTTGTGAAAATAGCAAATTTTGGCAAGATTTTAGATATCTAGATTTGGAATACCAGAGTTTGAATTTAGTTAGGAGTCTTATTGAATTACAGACTTTTCGATTTGAATTGAAATAAACTATGAAGACCAGGATTGAGCTTTTATCTAATTTTCAAAGTTACTTTGATGCCAACCTTTCTTGATAATAATGATCTTTTGATTCAGACAGAGATGGAAGAAGCGCGATATGCAACTCGATAGAAGAAATCCTTAAGAGACGACAACCTAAGAACCTCTAAAACCACGGGCTTTGTCCAAGACCCGAAGCCTATAAAATTGGGGCTCGCCATGGAGATTTGCGACAATGGATTATCAGATCATCAATGTTTACTTATCTCTTTTAATAATTAGATTAATGTTGGGGCTTCAAGCAAGCTTAATTTTAAAATTTTTGTAAAACTTTATAAGCTCCTTGAAATTTTTATATGTTTCCAAAATTGATAGAAATTCTAACTTTCCATTTTAAACATCTTTGATTCTGATCCATAAATTTAATATTAAACATATTTTTATAATAAATTCAATTAAATTTGTAATTTTTGGGGTTTTGGGGTTTTGGGGTTTTGGGGTTTTGGGG